TCTTCTTTCTCGGCCTGTTTACTTGTTCAGCCGGTCGTCAGCAGCAACGGTGGCGTCGCAGCTTCGCAGGAGGAGAAGGTGAAGGCCAAAGATGAGACGCAGTGGAAGGAGATCAACGCCGCCGTGGCCTTGACCAACTTGGCCCAGGGGACGGACGGTGTTTCTGGAACAACCAGCTGCATCATCCAGAAGTCCTCTCATATCGTCGAGGTGAAGACGGTTAAAAAAGCTGCTGCTGCTGCTGAACTCTTAGCTCTGACGTTCTCCGTCTTTGCGAAGCAGCAAACATTTCTCTCTGAGCCAACAGAGGCAAAATAAACCCACACCGTGACAGGAAAACAACTGGGAAAGGCAGAGCATAGAGTGGAACAATTCAACATTTGGTCTGATTGAAAATGTCCAAAAGATGCCTTGACCATCCTATTTAAAAAATGAACCTTTTCAAATATTATTTTTCTATTTATAGTCTTTTTTTTATTCCTGTTTTTACTGGAGTATATTTTGTATTCTCCAAAGTGCCTTTATTTTTCAGCAGATCAGCTCTCTGATTGTTCACATATTCAAACAAACAGAACCTGACTGTTCTGAAATGAATGTCAGGAACAATGAAGCTTCACTACAACTCCTGCTTTTAGTTCCTTCCCTTGTTCCTGTGAATCATTCTAGCCTCAAACAGGAATTATTGTTGCCTGAATGTCCTAAACATTTAGTTTCAGTTCAGAACTCTTTCCTCTGACTGACCTGATGTATTCTTGTCTTTGAGGTTTTGTTCATGTGTTTCATAACGGAGCCTGTTTCAAAAATAATGGCCTTGGGTTTTCTGTCTCTCAGACTGCCACATGTTGAAGGTTATAGCAGTTTAAAAGATCTATCTAGAATTCATGCTGGGAATGTTTGAAGATGATGATGAAGGAAAGACAAATGGATGAAGGACAAATTTACATTATATTGGTGGACGATAGAGGTACCATGATCTGTCTATATTGTTTCATGGCCAGTAAACAGAACCCTGTTTGGGTCGACAGTAAATGAGTCAGGAAGGAGTTGACGTGAGGCTCATTAAACTCTTTATCAATGAACTGAGTTATGGTCTATGATCCAGACCAGAACCGATGCTTTAACAGGGAGAACCTTGTTCTCTACCAACAAAAGGGTCATTATGGGCATTGTAGTATCATCCAGTATATCAGGACATGTAGTCCTAAAACATAAACATTATGCCTTTACTATAACTTCTATTTATGTCAAAGCAATGAACGTTGTAACCATCAGTTTTTATTGTTTACTAAAATATTTGTTTATTCAGATGGAGACTGGATGTTCAGTCCAACGACCAAATAAATATCTCCTTGTTTTGTTTTAATTGTTCTCATGTAAAATGTATTTTATAAAACTGTGACAATAAACCTTTGAATGAAGCAAGTTGTGTCTGTTTTTATACAATTAAGTCCTGATCTACTAACTAGATGCACAGATAATTTATTCAGAGGACAGGGGCCATGGGGAGGATTGGTCTCTTTGCACTGGTCTGTTTGGACTTTTAATCACAATCAAGTTGATCAAGTGGAAAAGTTGCTGTTGAAAATAATAAAATGAATGTAACAAATGTAACTGAGTATATAATCTGTCTTAATCAGAGAAAAAAAATTGTTGTTCTGTCAAATAATCAACCAAACAGCTTCTGTCTGTAAGTTGATATTTAACTGGTGCTGTCCATTCATCTGTGGTGCTGAAATCACACAAATTGCAGTTGCTGTTCTAATCTAACCTCCCTGATGAATTCCTAATAATGGTTTGGCCGTTTGCTTTGAAGATTTATCATTCCTTTGACTATCCAGGGTCAGGATGAGACCAATGATGGAGCAGAACTATATAATGATTGGCTTTTTTAGAAAGGTCATTCAACTGTCAGTCCTTCACCTCCTGACTCTGTTATTCTTAGAGTAACTTTAACATCATCCAGCTGAGAGATGATCACCTCCACCCATGCTGCTCCTCAACTGGAAGGACAGGCTTGTTTTGGAAAAGTGAAGAAGAAAAACAGCCTCCTCCACCTCTGTTCCCCACATTCCATCTATCCATCGACCACCTGGAGCTATTTTCTCTTCAAATACTGATCATACTTTGTGTCTCACACATTGAACAAGGTTAAGCAGGAACAGATGAGATCTGCTGATTTCTGTCAGGTAGAAGCTATGTCCCGATGAAGAGCTGGAAGCTCTCCCTGCAGTAAGGAAACTTCCAACCCAGTCTCATAGGAAAATGTAC